TTTTTGTTTTTAATGTATTTAGGACAGGGTCTACAGGCTCTCACGTTGTAGGTGCGACTCGTAGTGGTCCTCCTGTTTTTAGCCTCCCAAGTGCTTGGATAACAGGTTTGTGCCACCACGCCCATCGTGGGACTGCCATGGCCAGCTGGGGATCAAACCCCGGTCCCTGCGCCTGCCTAAGCAGGTGCTTTAGTCTGCAGAGCTATCTGGGTGGCCCAATATTTTTACTTTTTAAATTTGGAGACGGTGCCGATGAATTGGCCAGGCTGTGCTTAAACTCAATCCTTTTGCCTCAGTCTCCCAGAGTAATGGGTTTACAGATGTATACCACCAGGACTGGCAGAACTTTGTTTTCCTAAGGGCTGTAGAAACTTTAGTGCCTTTTCCTGTCAGTAGTGTTAGATTATCAGAAGCCAGAGTGGAGGACACTGGATTTATTGTACAAACTTTAACTGACATATTGGATTTATTAGCCACTCTAACATATTGGAAGAAGTTAATGCAGTGTTTTGTTTTGTTTTGTTTTTTGGTGGAACCAGGAATTGAACTCAGGCCCTTGCACTTGCCAGAGAAGCGCTTATTCCACTGAGCCATCTCCCCCGTCCCAATGCAGTGTTTCATTTGTGCTTAGAGTTGGACTGCTAGAGGAATGATGAGTACTTCCTTGCCTCCTCAAATAAGTTGTAGTGGTATATCCAAAGGAAATAGTGGAAACCAAAAGTTCTGTTAGAAATGACTTTTAAGAACTCTCATATTGGGGGCCGGGGAGTTAGCTCAGTAGAATAAGTGCTTGCCTGGCAAGCACAAGGGCCTGAGTTCAATCCCCGGTTCCGCAAAAAAGAACACCTCTCATATCAAAAAATACAGTGGTAAATTTAGCTTCATGTGATGTTTCCTAACCCCCTCATCTCTCCCTCTTAGTCCAGGGCCTTGAACATGAGCTGCACCTTAAGCCCTATGTTTTTGCTTTTTTGTAGTTGAACTCTTTAGAATGGAAATCACTTGTACCTAAGGATTTATTTATTTATTTATTTATTTATTTATTTATTTATTTATTTAGTGTGTGGCCAGCTCAGCCCACCAGGGGGCGGGGCGGGCTGGCATGTGGTGCTGGGGGATTGAATCGCGGTCCCTGTGCTTTGCTTGGCTTAGCTTGTTCTAAGTAGGTGCTTTAGACCACTGAGCCATCTCACCAGCCCTGTACCTAAGGTTTTAATGTTTATTTCCTTTTTTTTTTTTTTTGGTCTATTTGAGACAGTGTCTTGCTATGCAGTTTAGGCTGTGCTTGAGCCCATTTTGTAGCCCAGGCTGGTCTTGAGCTTGAAACAGTATTGCCCTGGCCTCTGAGTGCTGGGTTTACAGGCATGTGCTGCCATGCCCAGCTATAAAGATTTGATTTGATGTAGCAAAGGGCCTTGACATACTGACATCTCTGGCATTTTTCTGAGACAGGATTTTGCTAAGTGACTAAATTGTCTAAGCTGGGCTTGAATTTGCAATCCTCCAGCCTCAGCCTCCCAGAGTGCTGTAATTGTAGGGTCTTGTTATACAGTTTAGGCTGCCCTTGAACTCCAGGCTGGCCTCAGACTTGCATCAGCCTCCTGAGTGCTGGTATTACAGGTGTGCATCACCATGCCCAGCCTTTTTTTTTCTTTGCTGAGTTTTTCTCTTTGAACAGAGAGCCTCATTAATTGTTTTTATTGTTTGTTTTTTGTTATAATAGCTACCATTCATTTCTTAGAGGAGGGAATGAAGCAAAAGTTATGAGATTTATATATGGTAATTTTAGTTGTAGCTTTTGTTTCCAGAACCAGTGTTTCCTCACCTCTAGATCCTGAATGACCAACAACATGAGCCCCATTGGACTTCAGAGTAGATTAATAAAGGAGAAAAGTGATTGATTACAGTGACAATAAATTGTACTACTTGTCTGCCCAGCCAGTGCTAGCTTCATTGTTGGGCAAACTGAAGGATGTTCTGTGAGCATGACATGATTACTCTCCTCCCTCCGTCCCTCCCTCCCCCGCCCCCACTTCCTTTTTCCCCTCCCCTTCTTCCTCTCCCTTCCCCTGTTCTTCTTTTTTTTTTTTTAATTTTTTAATTTTTAATTTTTTAATTTTTATTTATTTGTGTGTGTGTGTGTGTATGTGTGTGTGTGGCCAGCTCAGCCCACCAGGGGGCGGGCCTGGCTGGCATGTGGTGCTGGGGGATTGTACCGTGGTCCTTGGGCTTTGCTAAACTTGTTCTAAGTAGGTGCTTTAGACCACTGAGCCATCTCACCAGCCCCCCTGTTCTTTGCCTCCCTCTCTCTCTCTAGTAACCTCTATAATTTGCCTGGAATGTTAAGGATTTTTATAACCCAGGACAGTTTCTTTTTCTTTTTTTTGGCGGAACTGGGACTTGAACTTAAACCCTTGTGCTTGCCAAGGAAGCGCTTATTCTACTGAGCCGTCTCCCCAGCCCCCAGTTTGTTTATTGAGATAGGGTGTTGCTGTGTAGCTGGCAAAGTTCTGGGATTACACGCATGTGCTGCCTTAATTTGCTTAACCCAGAAAATTTCTTGAAGTACTTTTAGACATGGTTACAGTTTGAAATTATACCAGTTTCTGAACTCTAGCTTTTTTTCTTTTCTTTCTTTTTTTTTTTTTCAGAACCGGGGATTGAGCTCAGGTCCTAGCACTTGCCAGGGAAGCACTTATTCCACTGAGCCATCTCCCCGGCCCCACTTTTCTTTCTTTTATTTATTTATTTTTTCAAATATATTTGGTACAGGGTCTCACTACATAGCTCAGATTCATAACAATCTTCCTGGTTTCAGCTCCCTAGCACTGGCATTACAGGCATGCACCACCACACCTGGTCTCTGTGGCTGGTTCAGCATGCCCCGGGGGCAGGGCCCGTGTGGCATGTGGTGTCAGGAATTGAACCTCGGTCCCTGTGCTTGCCTAAGCTGTCACTTAGTTTGCTGAGCTATCTCATTGGCCCTGTTTTTTTTTTTTTTAAACTACTTATATATTGGAGCCGGGGAGCTGGCTCAGTGGAATAAGCACTTGCCTGGCAAGCGCAGTGGCCTGAGTTCAATCCCCGGTTCTGGGGGGAAAAAAAAAAAGACCAAATGTGTAACTACTTATATAGGCATACATTCTTATCTAATAGTAATATTTCCGGGGCTGGTGAGATGGCTCAGTGGTCTAAAGCACTTACTTAGAACAAACTAAGCTAAGCAAAGCACAGGGACCGCGGTTCAATCCCCCAGCACCACATGCCAGCCGTTCCCGCCCCCTGGTGGGCTGAGCTGGCCCCCCACACAGAAAATAAATAAATAAATAATTTAATAGTAATATTTCCGAGTGGGGCTATTGGGTTTTAGTGGCATGTGCCTTATAACTTGATACTGTGATCTTTAACATATTCACATGGCCAGAGTGGAGTTTCCTCCAGAATCCTTTGCTTAGGATTGATTGATTGATTTTTTTTTTTATGTTTTAATAGGGGGTTTACAGGGGTCTCACTATGTAGATTGGACTGAGTGATTTGTCTGTGTTCAGCCTCCCAAGAACTGGGATTACGGGTGCTCACCCTCATGCCCAGTCTCAGTTGCCTCAGCAAGCCCTGGGGTCAGGGCCAGTACAGCACTCTGGGGAATCAAACCCCACTTGCTACGTCTGCTAAGCAGGTGCTTTAATCCACTGAACTATTTGGCTGGCCCTTGCTTAAGAGTTAAATAAAAGATATGCGCCATTAGCAAATGATGACATGTACCTGTAATCTTTTTTTTTTTTCTGGAACCGGGGATTGAACTCAGGCCCTTGTGCTTGCCAGGCAAGCACTTATTCTACTAAGCTATCTCCTCAGCCCCATATACCTATAATCTTAATAGGGAGACTGAGGCAAGAGGGTCACAAGTACAAACCAGATTGAACAACCAGGCTTGATGGGTGGTGTATGCTACTCATCCCAGTGCTAGGGATGCTGTGGCTGGAGGACTGCTTCTAGTTGGAGGCGAGGTTGGGGTACATAGTTCAAAGGCAGCCTCAACTGTTTGGCAAGACTGTTAAGAAAAAAAAAAAAAAAAAAAAAAAAAAAAAAAAACAACCCTGGGCTACATAATGAGACAGTGTTTAAAAAAGAAGAGTGGGGCTAGCGAGATGGCTCAGTGGATTAAGCGCTTCCCTGGCAAGCACAAGGGCCTGAGTTCAATCCCTGGTTCTGCAAAAAAAAAAAAGTGCTGTTAGATATTTCCTGTGTGGTTAGAATAATAATGCATCAATCTAATCTTACTGAAATAGTTTTGTTTTAGCAATGGAGTCTTGTTTTTGCATATTGGCCTAAGTGGACCAATAACATGTCAATGGGCGGTTTACCAGGTTGAGAAAATGTGTAGAGAATTCATTGAGATCTGAATCAGCCAAGTTTGCTTTATTTTCCTTTAATATAGAAAGAGCTACACAAAACTGTTTTAAATTATATTGTAATTTTCAAAGCCCAATTTCTATCTGTTCTTTCTATTGATTGATTGATCATACCAAGGATTAAACCCCTGGCTTACTGTGTGAATACTAGATAAGAAGTCACTGGAGGAACCTCTCCACTCTTGTGATCATCCTGTCTCAGGATCCCTAGTGCTGAGATTACAGGCGTGCACCCACATGCTGGTTTCATTGTTGGGTGCCAGTACAGCATACGGTACCAGGGATTGAACTCTAGTCCTTGTGCTTGCCAGGCAGGTGTTTAGGCCTCCAAGCTATCTCCCTGGCCCTCAGCTTCTATTCTTAATTTTCAAATCAATTTTATTATTCAAGAAAGTGTATTGCTTTTTTAAAATTTATTTTTTTTTATTAGTATATGTCTGCAGTACATAATGATTCATTTATTGTGAAGAATTGGTACATATACTTAAAAGTATATTGCTTGCTTTGATCAGGGTTAAAATACCAAGTCATGTTGTCTGCTTTGTATAGTGAATAGTTGCTCATGTGTAAATGTTTTGTTTCCTACAGCGCATGGATTTAGGAGAATGTACCAAAATTCACGACTTGGCCCTCCGAGCAGATTATGAAATTGCAAGTAAAGAGAGAGACCTGTTTTTTGAATTGGATGTAAGTTTCATTGGTATTGACTTATCCCTGTTCGTAAATTATAAGGTAGAATAATAAATTATGTTGTACATGGTGGAATACACCTGTAATTCTAGTACTTGGAAAGCTGAGGCAAGAGGATCACCATGAGGTCCAGGCCAGCCTAGGTTACGTATTGAGTTCAAGGTCATCCTGAACTGTATATATCAAGACTCTGTCCCAAAAAACCTAAATAAATAAACAAAATAAACATACATACATAAATTAAACACTTGCTGTCTTACCACTTTGAGCACTACAGTTTGTCCAATACTGTTTTTTATATGTGTGTTTGTCATTCTATGTGTGTCCTGAATTTTATGTTATCATTTTCTGTTAAAAACATTTTATTGTAGGTGGTGCTTACATGTAATTGCAGCACTTGGCAGGATGAGGCAGGAGCATTGTTTTGAGCTCAAGGCCAGCCTGTGCTATACGGAAAGTTCAAGGCTTGGGGCCGGGGATATGGCTCAGTGGATAAGCGCTTCCTTGGCAAGCACAAGGGCCTGAGTTCAATCCCTGGTTCTGCCCAAAAAAAAAAGTTCAAGGCTAGCATGGTCCAAAAAAAAATTGTTGTAATTCCTTGAACAGTGGTTATTTTTGCTTGGTCTTGAGCTTTACAAAAATGATCTCATAGTACAGATAATCCTTTTTTTTTTCTCCCGGAACCAGGGATTGA